TCTGAGGTCCTGAAGATCTGGGTATCCTCAGCCTTGGGGGTTGTTGGCCTGATTGCTGTCCTTGTTGGTCTGATGTTGTCTGAGGACTGGGAGCCTTTGCTCTTGGGCCTTGTTGATTTGGAGCCCTAGGTCCTTGTGCTGTGGGCAGCCTCATTCTAGGAGACTGCTGTGAAGCACCTTGCAGTAGAGGTCTCATTCTTGGACCTTGTTGCCCTGATGGTGTGAAAGGACCAAGTCCTCTAATTCTTGGACCTTGTGGACCAGGTCTTGGACCTTGTGTTCCTTGAGGTCTTGGACCAGCTCCTTGAGGTCTTGGTGGCCTCATTCTTGGAGCCAGTTGATTTGGGGACCCCCCAGGTCCTTGCGGTCTAGGAGGCCTCGCCCTTGGACCTTGTTGTCCATATGGACCTTGTTGTCCACCTTGAGGTCTGAGTGGTGAGGAACCCCGAGGTCCTTGATGCATAGGAGGTCGCATTCTTGATCCTTGCTCATTTGATGCTGCTTGAGGACCAGGTCCTCTAACTCTTGGACCTTGTGGACCGGCTCCTTGTGGTCTGGGTGGTCTCATTCTTGGGCCCTGTTGATGTAAGGACCCCCCAGGTCCTTGCGGTCTAGGAGGCCTTGCCCTTGGACCTTGTTGTCCATATGGAACTTGTTGTCCACCTTGAGGTCTGGGTGGTCTTGCTCTTGGACCTTGCTGATTATTAAATTGTGCTCTTGGCCCCTGCGGTCGTTGCTGTTGTGTATTCTGTTGGTGACTACCAGCTCCGTGAGAAATTGGTGCTTGCATTCTGGAACCTTGCTGGTTTGTAGGTGTTTGAGGGTTTGGTCCCTGTATCACTTGGGGTCTTGGTGGCCTCATCCGTGGACCTTGTGGATTGGATGGCAATCCAGGGCCTGCCTGATTTGATTGGACCTCTGATCCTTGAGGCCCAGCTGTTCTCATCCTGGGAGGTTGATCAAATTGTGCCTGTTGTCCTTGGGGTGTTAATGGGCGCATACCCATTAATGGTTTGCGAGTTTGATCACCCTGGGCACGTGATCCTGACGGTTGGGATGGCCTTTGGTTTGAACTTTGCATTCCAGTCCCTCCAGGTTGGGTTGGTCTTTGCATTCCAGTCCCTCCAGGCTGGGTTGGTCTTTGCATTCCAGTCCCTCCAGGCTGGGTTGGTCTTTGCATTCCAGTCCCTCCAGGTTGGGTTGGTCTTTGCATTCCAGTCTCTCCAGGTTGGGTTGGTCTTTGCATTCCAGTCCCTCCAGGTTGGGTTGGTCTTTGCATTCCAGTCCCTCCAGGCTGGGTTGGTCTTTGCATTCCAGTCCCTCCAGGCTGGGTTGGTCTTTGCATTCCAGTCCCTCCAGGTTGGGTTGGTCTTTGAATTCCAGTCCCTCCAGGTTGGGTTGGTCTTTGCATTCCAGTCCCTCCAGGTTGGGTTGGTCTTTGAATTCCAGTCCCTCCAGGTTGGGTTGGTCTTTGCATTCCAGTCCCTCCAGGTTGGGTTGGTCTTGGCATTCTAGTCCCTCCAGGTTGGGTTGGTCTTTGCATTTGGCCAAATCCTTGGGGATTATTTTGTCTTAAAGACTGATTCCCTGCTTGTTGAGTCTGTCCTTGCGAAGATTGGTCTTGGGGTTTAGGTCCACGAAATCTTGAACCTTGGAACTGATCTGGAAATGGTGGTCTGCTCCTCTGTTGTTCTGGTCCAGGGCCTCTAGGACCTCTTGGACCTTGTCCACCAGGACCTCTCGGCATGGGACCTCTCGGACCTTGCGCTCTGGGTGACGGTCCTCTGGGCCATTGACCAGGTTGTTGACCTCGAGGCCCTCCATGTGGACCTGGAGCCCTTGGTGAAAATCCTGGTGCTCTTGGTTGGAATTGTCCACTCTGATTTGGTGTTTGAGGCCGGTTTCCTCTGTATGACTGACCATATTGGTTTTGTTGGGTTCCACTGCCTGGATGAGGGAATCTATTCCGACCAAGAGACTGTTGTGGTGTATTGGTACCATATTGATTCATTTGGCCATTTGTTTGTTCTTGACCATATGATTGTTGGTTGGACTTATTTCCTGATCCACCTTGATTGGCTTGCTGCCAAGATGGTTGACTTGGTCCTTGGTTTTGAGAATAGTTACCTTCACTTGATGAATTGTTATTGTTAAATTGTGAAGGTGCACTAGATCTCTGTGGCTGATTATAGCCCTGTTGCTGATAATCTTGATTCTGATTTTGATTCTTGTATTGTGACTGATAACCAGAATTTTGCTGACCGGTTTGTTGATACTGTCCTGAATTTTGGGGCTGCTGCTGACTCTGAGCTGGTTGATTTCCATAGCTTTGTGATGCCTGTGCTGTGTTAGGCAGCTGTGGTCCTATTGGCTGACTTTTAGATTGTTGACCAAATTGTGACTTTTGTTGCCCTGCTTGGCCAGAATAACCCGATTGACCAGTTTGACCAGAATAACCTGTTTTACCAGAATAACCAACTTGACCAGACTGACTGGTTTGACCAAACTGACCAGTTTGACTAGACTGACCGGTTTGATCAGAATAACCTGTTTTACCAGAATAACCAACTTGACCAGACTGACTGGTTTGACCAAACTGACCAGTTTGACTAGACTGACCGGTTTGATCAGAATAACCTGTTTTACCAGAATAACCAACTTGACCAGACTGACTGGTTTGACCAAACTGACCAGTTTGACTAGACTGACCGGTTTGATCAGAATAACCTGTTTTACCAGAATAACCAACTTGACCAGACTGACTGGTTTGACCAAACTGACCAGTTTGACTAGACTGACCGGTTTGATCAGAATAACCTGTTTTACCAGAATAACCAACTTGACCAGACTGACTGGTTTGACCAAACTGACCAGTTTGACTAGACTGACCGGTTTGATCAGAATAACCTGTTTTACCAGAATAACCAACTTGACCAGACTGACTGGTTTGACCAAACTGACCAGTTTGACTAGACTGACCGGTTTGATCAGAATAACCTGTTTTACCAGAATAACCAACTTGACCAGACTGACTGGTTTGACCAAACTGACCAGTTTGACTAGACTGACCGGTTTGATCAGAATAACCTGTTTTACCAGAATAACCAACTTGACCAGACTGACTGGTTTGACCAAACTGACCAGTTTGACTAGACTGACCGGTTTGA